TTATGGAATTTATGTCACGGTGCAATTGAATTTTGGAATTGAAATACGATGGAATAGCTCTGATCAAGCTAACTGGGCCTAATGTGACTCTTGAGGGCCCCAAGATGTTTCATTAGGTCGGCTTTCCTTTGCTGTGTGCTTAGGGTAAGCTATATGGACTTATTGACTTGGGCTTAAGGATACAAGCTTCAGAGCCTATCCTTAAGTCGGCTTTCTTTTTGCTATGTGCATAAAGTAAGCTATATGGAAAATAATTTTGGGAACTACTGATGGTGTACCAGAAAAGGGTTTAAACTATGATTTTCAAAAAGTTAAACTCTTTTACGAATTTGTGAGATTACTGGACTATGATTTGTACCTATTGTGATTTTATGGAAATGTTGGGACACACTGAGCCTAGCTCACCTTTTGAAAATGTTTTCCCCTTTCAGATACTGTTGGTTAGATACCTGGGTTCGAGCACTTGGAGGATCAACATATCTCTTGAAGTAAATCAGATTGTAATGTTTTTATCTGGCAAGTTGACTTTATTTTGGTGACATGGACCTTATTTTAAAATATCAGATTTTATAATGATAACTCTTTTGCTAATACTGCTCGGTTTATTGTGATTTTGAATTTGAAGACATGTTTTAAATTAAATTATTATTTATTTGTACTATATTTACGAGTTGGATTTTGATAGTATAATTTGTTTATAATTTCATGTTATTTATAATGTGATTTTATATTGATAGAATAACGGTTGCGAAAAATGTCTTTAATAATCATAATGTGATCCACTAGACTTAGTCGAAACGTATAGGCCGGGTCTAGGGGGTTTGGGGAAATTTATTGATAGAAGCATGACGTTGGAACGTTTTGCCCTAATTTTGGTGGCTTTGTGGGTTGCCGTGACGTGATGAAGATGGCAAGCGATCGTTGATCAATGCCCGTAACGATGAATAACAGAAAGAGAAGGTTTTTAGGTGTTTGATTATCCAAATCATTACTGCTTGAGAATGACCTAATCAAAGCTGTTCACATTGCTTGCTACACATGCGCATATACGCATACATCATTGCTATATTCTGCTGCAGTAGGCGACTAAAATACGCTCTAGGTTAAACTTCAAAATTCAGTTAATGAGAAAAGGTGTTGGTTTTTCTTATCGATTAAGGGAAAAAAATGAATCGTAAATAGAAATATTGAGTGCATGGAGTTAATGTGAAGAAATGAGCACATCATTGAAATATTGCGATAAGAGAAGTAGGGTTATACACATTTAGAATAAGCCAACTTAAGCTGTAGCACCATTATTTACTTTCCATTATTAATATTCAGACCCACTAAGAAATTTTCAGTTTAAAACTATTTTTTTCTAAATTATAATAAGAATTATTTCCATTATTAATATTAATTACTGGGTAAATTAAGATACAAGTTACCCCATAAAGTTATGGTTACTGAATTTGTGCAAATCTTTGCGCACTAAGTTGATTTGACATAAAAATAAAGAGCTCAAATAAATCCATACGTCTATTTGATATTTTTTTTTAATCTATGTATAAAATAGTATCTGTTCAAATATAATTTTTAACCTTTTGATATTGAATATTCACTCTTGATATATATGATGCTCGAACTTGAATCCTCAAGGAATAATAACAATTCATTTACCACAAAAATTATTTGATTCGTCCGTCTATTTCATTTCACTTTTGCAAATGCAGCACTCTCTGTAGCCATTACCTTTTAAGAGAAGACTACCTTAAAAAACCTTCTAAAAGAAGATAAAAAAATAACCGTTACTTTATTATTTATTGGCTATCCAAATAAAATCAAAAGACACAAATGGTCCAATACATACACCATTACTTTATTACAACCGAATAGAAATTTCAACTTTTTTTAATTGATTTTTTTCGTTTTAATTGTTAATAGAACCTATTTTTTTTTCAAAAATAATTAATCATATCAAACAAAATTCGATTCATCGGTCGGTTAACCGAATTAACTAAAATTTAAATAATATATATTAAATATTTAATATTTTTAGTTAATTTAGTCGGTTAATTTTGTTAAAATAAAAATTTAAACACTCCTAAAATTATTAATATAAAAATAATATATTAAATATTTAAATTTTTTGGCTAATTGGTTAATTAACCGATTTCAAACCGAATTAATTGAACTTTGAAAAAATCATTAACCGAACAAACCTAAAATTAACCGGCCGGTTAACCGAAGAATTTTCTATTCGGTCGTTTTAATCAGTTAACCAAAATTTTGAACACCCCTACTATTACTGACGGTCCTTTTTATTAGATTTTGATTTTCAATAATTATAGGATAATAGTTGTTATTTGATATGTAAAATGTATAAAATTATTTTATATAGTATTATGAAATTTTAAAAATTAACTTTAAATTTTAAATTTTAAACCAACAATTTTAAATTATAAAACTCAAATTCTAATTCTAAATCATATAATTTTAACCTTAAATTTAAATAGAACACGTGATACTGAAATAGACATACTTTATACTTATATAAACTTAACTTACACAACTTATGTATTAAATAATTTTTCTAATATAAATATTATAGCAATTATAGTTCATTCAAAGTTTGATGATAGTTCATTATTACTCCGCCGTTTGAACTATATCTTTATGGTGGACATGATTCAATATAGGGGTGGCAAACGAGGCGGGTGTGGATATCTCTTTTTTAATCCCTATATATACTTAATATTTTTGTATCTGTTATCTATCTATTATTTATGATAAGTAACATTTTTAAATCCACATCCGCTCACGTGAGTACATTCTCAAATCTATTCCAATACCTACTACTCAATTGGATACCCACTACTCATCTTTTACCCGTATATAATCATCCATACCCGTCTGTCAGCAAACTCACAAGTTACATAAACAACAAAATATAAAACAAACACATCCATTAAGAAGCATAATAAAATAAACCAAAGATCAATTAAGTTTATGTCATAACATTTGGTTAAATTACAAGACATATCCTATAAAATCTTAAGATTTATAGAATAACCTCTAAAATTATACCTAAATTCATAATGGTCCAAAATTTATATGGTGGGTAATTAGTGTGGCGGGCAAATGTGGGGATGGCGGATGTGGAGCGGACAAGGTCTTAAACTCATCACCTACTCATTACCCACAACGGGTATGACTTTTTATATCCACATCCGCCCATTATCCACTAAATTTATATCTATATTCACCACAATTAAAACAGATACGGTACAAAATCCACAAAATTGAGACCGTTTATCATCTCTAATTTAATATGTGAAGTTCCCAAACTCGTATATCTTGGGTTTGCTGCCCCCTAGTGTCAATTTTGGTTTTACAATTTTTTGTCAATCACAATCTGATTAAATGATAATTTATTAAATTAAAATTAAATTGATATAATAGGTAAGTAATAAGGGAGTAAAATTATAAAATCAAAATTGACACTACAAAAAGATATTAACATCACAATCTAATCGAATGATTAAATAATGTGATTTAATTGAATTTAACTTAATGATTCAATTTATAAAATAAAATTAAATTGCTTCCCTTAGTGTCAATTTTAATTATCACAAAATGCTAATCTAATTATAATACTACATTTAATTATCACATCAATAATTTTATTAAATGTTGATGGCATTATATATAATTTAATTAATATCATTTAAATAATAAAATGATTTAATTAATAAAATTAATAAATTAATAATATAAAAAAATCTGGATCTTAATTAAATGATTATTCACTTATTTTGTCTAAAAATATTTATAAAAAAATTAAAAAAAATTAAAATCTTTATATTTGCCCAATGAAAAAGATCGCCGCAAATGTGAAAGAATCGTGGCCTCGTGGGGTTGATCAACTTGCCAATGTAGTTTTATATATATATATAAATAAAAGTTTAGTCTAGGGCGGTTTTCTATTTTAGGGTCCGAATATACTTAAACTTAAGACTCAATTGAGATTTAAATATGAATTTATAGATTGTTCATCAAGAGTGAAAGTAATAAAATTAGAACTTAATTTTACAAGTTTAAATTCGTAAATTCCAACCATTTATGTCAATACTCGTTGACATTTGCTAATGTATTTTTTAATTATCTTTGTTATAATAGTATTTTAAATATTACATTTAATATGACTTGTGTATATATTAATAATAATTCATCTTCTATAGGATAGTCATATAAATGTTCGTATCAGTATAATTTTTATATATTCTGATAAGAATGTTTATGTTTTCAATATCATATAATCACGTAACGTGAATTATCCCATCCGCCAAGATCCCTAATTATTCGGTCGTTTGGAATGAAAAACAAGGAAACATTGGTACCACTTTCTTTTTCACTGTCTTTATCTGTATAAACAGTGACATCCACCCACAGTCTCAAAACGAAGCGTGCATCCACGTTCTAAAAGGAGTCAAATGTTATTGGGCGGTGTTCTCACGCTCTTTGATAATAAGAAGAAATTAACACGTAGGCAAAACACAAAAGCAGTTAAATGGAAATCACGGAACTGTACTGCCACGGACTACGGAAAAGACAGCTTTTCCCCGTATTTAAGAGATAGATAGTGCTTGTGAAACCTAATTAAAAGTATTGCAAAAAATAAATTAATTAAATAAATTAAATCATTATTGAAAAATCCGTATGTTTATATTACTAGTTAATTGGATATCATTTATAGATCGTGAAATCAATATAAACTCTTATATCTTATGTTTTAAATCTTAAAAGGATTTTTATTATAATTAGTTTTATTTTTTGTAACATTAACATGTTTTAATAATAATTAACATAATTACATATATGAGACGAGATAATAAAATAATGTGGGTAATTGTAACTGGCAAGTACTCCAACTTGTACCCTCTTATCTCTCATAATCAGCATAGCATCACTATTCTTTATTTAATTCTCCTTTTTCTCTCCTTTATATAATGCGTCCCTCACTCTCCTTCCTCCCTACTCTCTCCAACTTCTCCTTCCGTTTCCTTTCTTTACTCCTCTTCTTCTTCAACCTCGATATCGGATAATAATAGATTCACCGTGACACTCCAAGGAATCTTTTCTTTTTCATAAAACGCCAAATGAAACAACTCATCCGCCGTCTCTCACGCGTTGCCGATACTTCCTCCCAGTACAGACTCCTCCGTTCCGACACCTCCACACCCACGCGTCGAACCGAATCATTCCGCGTCGCCGTCTCCTCCTCGAAGAAGCCTGGACGCTTATCCGTTCCCGAAGGCCACGTGCCGGTTTACGTGGGAGAAGGGATGGAGCGGTTCGTCGTTAGCGCGGAGTTGCTGAACCACCCGGTTTTCGTTGGGTTGCTAAACAAGTCGGCTCAGGAGTATGGATATGAGCAGAAGGGGGTGCTTCATATTCCCTGTCACGTGCTGGTTTTCGAACGGGTCATGGAAGCGTTGAGACTTGGGGTTGAGTCACATGACCTCGAAGATCTCTTCCGGACTTTCTCGGACTACTGCTTTTTCGATTTCTAGGAGGAAGAAAACGGTAACACGCTGTCGTTTTTAGTTCTGTAAATATAGAAGCTTAAAGCCTTAAAGAAAGAAAAAAAGGAAAAGAAAAATAGTTTTTTTCTTCTTTCTTTCTATTTTGTATAGTCCTTTGATGTAAGCTGTAAAGACTGGACAGAAATGGAGGAATTGTTGTTCCATTTTTTCCCTATAAAATATTGTATTTATCGAATTTCCCTTTATATTTTTGGTTTAATTTTCTGTTGCCTTTTTACAACTTCATTCTGAAAGTAAACTTTAGGCCAGATACAGCTTACGATTCTGACAGCTGTCATTCATGTGCTAGGTGGTTTTGTAATGCAGCAATTTTTCTGTTTGTTTTCAAGGAAAAATGAGAAGGGGAAACTTTGAAACTGGAAATATAAAAGGTAAATAAAATTAGTTATTGAGTTTTATAAACTTTTAAATTAACTTAAATAATAATTAAATAAAAATAACAATAGAAAAAAATAAAAATAAATAAATAAAAAGGACCGAGCGAAAATGAGTGTCGACATATTTTTTGTGTGATTCAGGTACGATATCTTCAACTTATATATTTTAGTCATTGATGGATTATAATTTGGCTATTATTTTTATTTTTATTTCATTTTAGTCCCATTTTATTTGTTATCTTATCTTTTAGGAATATTTTCTTTTGAATGCCTTACTTTAAATATTTACATTTTGTCTTGAATGATTAAAGTTTGGTTCATTTACGATTGCAGTGCTTAGATTGTGAAATATTTGCAATGGTTGTCTTGACTTCTTGTTGGTTGTATTGTTTAATCCCTAAAATTACAATCTTTATTATTTTGATCCATCATTCATATATTTGTTAATTACTCACTGGTTGTAATATTTTCAAATGTTATTTTACTCGATGAATTTATAGAAACGCACCTTAACTGACAAGGAGTGTGTTTTCAAGAACTGTTCGAACAAGATAATGCATTTTATATTCTAATGAATTTGTTTTTTTTAATGTAATTAATGTATGTATTTTATCTAAAAATTCGGGCAATATTCTTTTGTATGGGGAATCCATGGAAATGACCACTTAACTAACAATGAATGTATTTTCGAGAATTGTTCGTGCAAAATAATAACTCTTATATTTTTTAAAAAAATGATCATAATTTAAATGTATATTCGAATTTTCTAATTTCAATATTTAGATGATGTATAATCGTTTATGTATCGATTTCGGGCGTTGTGGGGTGCTAATCATTCCTCACGTGTAATTGACTCCCGAACCTTTTTTCCAAATGAATTTCTGGTTAAACACAAATCATTTTTTATCTTTTAAAATTATTTTTCTTAAAATTATTTTAAAAAGTATTTTTAGGTATTCGACTTACCTAACCCAAAGGTCGATGGCGACTCCGAAAATATTTTTTTGTTTTATTTTAAAACCCAACCTTTTCTCAAGATTAAGTTGGATCGATCCCTGTCATAGCCCTAAAAAGTTTAAGGACGGCTCCGATAAATGGTGTCTAGGTGTGAGGCATTTTAGAGATCTATGTCACTTTATTCATGATTTGATCCATAATCAGACAATTATCTTTGCGGCTAATATAGATAATTAGCGTCGCCCACTGACGATGAGTGAATCCTTGAAATGCAACACTTGAAGTAGTGGATTTAGTAAAATTGTTGTAATTGGGTATGAATCAAAGTTTAACAAGTCAGACCAACCAAATTTCACTTCACTATGCCTCTGGTCTTGTAGTTGCTGAATGGGTCCAACATTCCATTTGACTTTGTAAATGTTCATTTCTCTGAGCAACTTTTATTTGGACTTTGTATGGATACTTCCACTCATGCACCATTCAATCATAAGACGTATTCTACCAATAGGTTTGAATTCGATGCTCGATATCATTAATCTCCCCTCTTTCTTTGGTAAGTTGCAACATCATTTATATTCTAATTCACTTACATTAATATCAAATTAAATTCTTTTTTATTTTATTATTTAAAAAGACAAAAAAAAACGACCAACTTGTAAGTTGTGTGTAACTACTGATATAATTTGAGAAGATTGTAAGTCAACAAATGAAATTAAGAAATAGTATACATAGTTGGAGTAATAATAAATGGTCAGTTCAATGGCCATATATTCTAAAAGGATTTGAAGTTTCTCTTGCTGTTCTTAATGGTCGACTTCCGCTGCTTCTTGTACTCTTCATACAACTGCAGGGACGTTGTTGTCCGATCCAACTCCCCCCTTAATCCCTCATTCTCTTTAATGTCCCGAAGAAGAGCCTCAGCTAAAACTTCACCTTGATCCGAAGCACAAAGAAAATGTGGCTAAGCGTTTTATAAATGAAGCTACCTTTTGCATGTCACGTTGTCTATCATCACATAGCATTACCTTAAGAGCCTCAGCTAAAACTTCACCTTGATCTCTGCAACATGGACAACAACAAAAGATTAACATTGGCGATCCATTTTGCAGTTTTCTTATCGAGACCGGCTTTTCTTAAAGAAAATAAAATTGTTCTTGTATCAGAAATTTTATTTCAGCATTTGAAGAAGTTCACAATAAGCTAGTATCAGCCAGCTTTTGCAGTTGGGAAAGACTTTGTTGAAGTAAAATTTTATCCAAAGCTACTGCTATTCATTAGATATACAAGTACTAACCTGGAAGGTCTGTACTCAAGTACAAGATTGTAAAGCTGGACAAAAAAGTCTTGTAAATCAACATTCAAAGCATCAAGATTGCTCCTCATAACTTTAAAGGCAACAATGCAGCAGCGGAGGCACTCAGAGACGGTCAAATTTTGCACTTTCTGGGAAGAACTATCTGAAATGTTACCTCTAGCAGCAAGCCTTTTCAAATCCCCAATGTAATCCAGGTCGATGAGATGAGAAAACTTTCCTAAACCACTCAAACAAGGAGCTAGCAGAGGATGTGGCCCCAGACCCATTAGAACATGTTGCGGAATACGCCTATCGGATAGAGCAAAATAGCAACTGATAATTTGAGAAAATAAAAATGAAGATAAAGAAAAAACAAATTTTACGTGGAAAATCCCTAAATAATATAGGGTAAAAACCACGGGCAACAGTAGAAGAATTTCACTATGAGAAAATAGAAATTACAACTTCTCTCGACCTAACAAGGAGAAAACAATAACAATTCTCTCTTGATAAAAAGGAGAAAACAACTCTCAAGAAAACTCTCTAAATTCTCTAGTATGGGGAGAAAGCTAGAATGATTTGGGATGGTTTTGAAGCTAAATGGGTAAGGGTATTTATAGTTGAAGATTAAGGACTAATATTGTAAATATCCTAAAGTGCAAGGACTAATTTAGCAATTTTACCATGCCCAATTTAAAATCAGCTATTCTTTTTTTTCCACAATTTCGGTGTGCACCAAAAGCCACCGAAAACTTTGTTGAAAGTTTTGGCCAAGTTGGCCACTTGCACTTGCCATTGACTTTTCAACAATCTCCCACTTGAAGATTTGATTGGAACAATCATATCTTCACACCATTCTTTCTACCTTGTACCTTCATGTTGCTTATGTTTTTGACAGGCCACAAGAGGATCGACACCAAGTAAATTTATCAGCATTGATCGCCTTCGTCATGAAATCTGTTATGTTGTCTTTGGTATGGATTTTCTGCATATCTACCGTCCATTCTTCCACATTTTCACGAATGAAATGGTACTGAACTCATATGTGCTTTGTCCTTGAATGAAATACTGGATTCCTTGCTAGATGCAAGGCGCTTTGACTGTCACAAAACAGAGAGACATACTCTTGATTGTGCCTAAGCTCCTCCAATAGCATCTTCAACCAAATTGCTTTTTTATTGGCTTGTGTAGCTGCTATATATTCTGCCTCTGTTGTGGATGTAGCCACAACTGGCTACAATTTTAAAACCCAGTTTATAGCTCCGCAACAACTTTGAACACATATCCTGTAGTAGATTTGCTTTTACCCAAATCCCCTACATAGTCAGAATCTACATGCCCATTAATAAGTAAGTTTGATCCTCCGTAACATAATGCAACATTTGAGGTCCCTTTGATGTATCTCAGGATCCTCTTACTATATTCCAATGCTCATTGTCTGGATTCTCCATGTACCGACTAACCACTGCCATTGTTTGTGCAATGTCTGGTCTTGTGCATATCATAGCAAACATTAAACTTCCCACTGTCAATCCATACGGCACTCGAGACATCTCCATCCTCTATTCTTCACTGCTAGGACTCATACTGGAGGATAATTTGAAGTTAATAGGAAGAAGGGTAGAAATTGGCTTACAATCTTGCATGTTCAATCGTGACAAAATCTTCTTCAATTAATTCTTTTGTGAAAGCCAAATCTTCATATTACTTCTGTCTCGGTGAATTTGCATCCCTAGAATCTTGTTTGCTGATCCCAAGTCCTTCATTTCAAATTCCCTAGCCAGTTGTGCCTTCAATTCTTCAATATGATCTTTGTTGGGTCATGCAACCAACATGTCATCCACATACAACATCAATATAACAAAATCGTTATCACCAAACCTCTTGAAATAAGCACAAGGGTCTGCATTAAGTCTGTTGTATCCAGGGCCATAATGAAGGAATCAAATCTCTTATACCAACACCTCGGTGCCTACTTTAGACCGTACAGAGATTTGTTCAACCTGTAAACCAAGTTCTTCTTTTCTTTTTCTCCAAAACATTCAGGCTAGAGCATATAAATCTCTTCTTCAAGATTTCCATGAAGAAAAGTTATTTTAATATCCAAGTGCTCTAGATGTAAATTCAATGTAGCACACATTGCCAAGACTATTCAAACTATTGTTAGTCGAACCACAAGAGAAAAGATTTCATTGAAATCAATACCTTCTTTTTGAGCATATCCTTTGACCACAAGTCTTGTACGATACCTCTCAACTTGATCGTCACCATTTCGCTTGATTTTGAAGACCCATTTGTTACCAATTGGCTTCCTTCCTTGTAGTAGTGGCACAAGGTCCCATGTATTATTTTTATGAAGGGCTTCAATTTGTTCTTGTATCGCCATCATCCACAGTGAAGCATCTGAGTTGTTTATTACCTCATGGTATGTTGATGGCTCATCGTCATCTGTTAAAAGGCAGTATGCAATATTTCCTTCTATAACATAATCTGAGTGCCAATTGGGACGTCTTCTCACACGATCTGATTGACGAGTTATTGGAGCTTCAGAATTATCTAGTTTTTGTTCATCATGTGCTAGTTCTGCTTCAGAAGAATCTCCTTGTTCAAACTCATTTTTCACATGTATCTGTGTAGTCTCTGACTTTTCAGCGCTATCATATTCTTCTTTTCTTTGTAGTTTATCCTCTACAAAGATAACATCCCTGCTGATGATCATTTTGCGTTCAGTGGGATCCCAGATGCGATATCCCTTTACACCATCAGCATACCCCAAGAATTTGCATTTTCTGGATTTTGGATCTAACTTTGAAATTTCTTGGGAGTTGTACATTACGTACACTATACTTCCAAATACATGGACGTTTGAATAATCAGATGGTTTACTAGTCCACATCTCCATTTGTGTCTTCAGCTCTATTGCAGTTGATGGAGCTCGATTCACCAAATAACAGGCGGTATTGATTGCTTCTACCCAAAATGATTTTTCTAGGTCTACAACCCTCAACATTGCTCTTGTTCTTTCTAACAAGGTTATGTTCATTCGCTCTGCCACTCCATTTTTTGATGAGTGTTCGCCACTATGAACTGTCTTTTAATGCATTTTTTCTTGCAAAAGTCATCAAATTCTTCACTCGTGTATTCTCCTCCATTATCTGTTTTGAAACACTTGATCTTATTTCCAAAATCAAGTTCCACCCGCACTTTGAAGTTTTTGAAAGTTGAAAACACATCTGAATTCTTCTTAATATGATACACCCAACATATCCTGGAGTAGTCATCAATAAATGCGACAAAGTATTTTGCTCCACCTAGGGATGCAACTGGTGCTTGCCATACGTCAGAATGAACCAATTCTAGAACACTTTTGTCTCTAGAATTTGATGTGTTGAATTTCAATCGGTGCTGGTTACTTGTTATGCAATGCTCACACAAAGTAAGTGATACCTTTGTTAAGCCTAGAAGTTGCTTTTGCTCCACAAGGACTTTCATTCCTTGTTCTGACATGTGTCTAAGTTTCTGGTGCCATAGCATTGCAGAATCTGAACTACATAAGGCAACAGAGGCTTCTGCTTCTAGCAAAGTCTCTCCCTTCAGCATGTACAAGTTTGCTGCTATCTTTTCACCTTTATCACCACAAGCGCTCCACATAACACCTTCATGATTTCTTTCAGTGTTTCAATCTTTTTTGCATTATTATCCAACAATCCGTAGGATAATAAATTTTTCTTCAGGCCTTTCACGTATCGCACATCTCGAACAACTTTAATTGTTCCATCATACATCTTCAATTTTATGGTTCCCATGCGAACTATCTATAAGGCATGATCATTGAAACTATACACAAATCCTCCTGAGACAGGTTCATAATGATGCAACCATTCTCTTCTTGAGGTCATGTGATATGTTGCTCCTGAATTAATGAGCCATATATCTGCAAATCTCTTTCTACCTTCCACGGTGGTTGACGCTTCACAACATAGAGCATCTCCATCATCTGAAGTGTTTGCGGTATTGCCTTGTGGATTGAAGTTTTTACTTAGACTCCAACAATCCTTCTTCAAGTGACCATTCTTTCCACAGTTATAACATTTTAAATTCCTTTTGCTTCTCGACTTCGATCTACCATGTTTGTGACTGCTGCTTTATCAACGTTTTGTTGATATCCCTCTCATCGTTGTCAGCGCTTCTGCTTATTGCAGATTTAATTGTTTGTCTTCCTTGTTCTTACGCCGATTTTTTTCTTGTAGAACAGTAGCTGCAACGTCATTGAAGACTAGACTGGTGACATTACTGTTTGTCAAGTTGATGATGAGTTGATCATACGAATCAGGTAGACTCTGAAGTACAAATTCAACGCGTTCTTGTTCTCCTATTGTACATCTTAAGGATGTACGTTGAGAAAATAAAGTGTTAATCGTGTTTAAGTGCTCCGTCACTGAAATTCTGGCATCCAGAGAGTGTATAATTTCCTCTTAAGGAGAATTTTATTGTGCAACGATGTGGCCTCGTACAGTTTGGTGAGATGATCCCATATTTCCTTAGCCGTCTTCTTCTCCTCGATGCTTGACAATACTTTATCTGCTAATGCTAGATGAAAGTTTGCCATAGCATTCCCGTCAATTTCAATCCATTTGTTGTCATCAGTGAAATATACCAGCCTTTCACTGATAGCTGCTAGACAACCGTCTTTCCTCAGGATGACCTTCATCTTTAATTTCCACAATGAGAAATTTCTCCCATTTAACTTTTCAATATCAAATTTCGTTGCCATAGCTTCTATTACGGATAACTCCCACTATTTCACTATCGTGAATAGTTCTTTAGAGCCTTCAACGAATGGATAATACCTTCTTACTTTCTTATGCTGGAGGATCCACCTTTTGGTGGCAACCACAAAGACAATAAGTAGATATTACACATTCTAATTTGGCTCTGGTACCAATTGTTGCGGAATACGGCTTTCGGATAGAGCAAAATCGTAACTGATAATTTGAGAAAATAAAAATGAAGATAAAGAAGACACAAATTTTACGTGGAAAACCCCTAAATAATATAGGGTAAAAACCACGGGCAACGGTAGAAGAATTTCACTATGAGAAAATATGAATTATAACTTCTCTCGATCTAACAAGGAGAAAACAATAACAATTCTCTCTTGATAAAAAGGAGAAAACAACTCTCAAGAAAACTCTCTAGTGTTGGGAGAAAGCTAGAATGATTTGGGATGGTTTTGAAGCTAAATGGGTTAGAGTATTTATAGTTGAAGCTTAAGGACTAATCTTGTAAATACCCTAAAGTGCAGAGATTAATTTAATAATTTTACCATGCCCAATTTTAACAAAATTAACTATACTTTTTTTCCACAATTTCGGTGTGCACCGAAAGCCATCGAAAACTTTGTTGAAAGTTTTGGCTAAGTTGGCCACTTGCACTTGCCATTGACTTTTCAACAGAACATACGTTGTCACTTACTTCAGAACTGAAAACAAATAACAGAATTTACTGGTGTGCTAGAGATTTTATAAAATAATAAAAAGACAAGTTCACATAAAATAAAAAGAGATGGCATAAGACTTCAAATGGTAATCACTTTATCATGTTGATATTAACAATCCTAATCTATCATTTTTTTGAAATCTCGATCAATGTTAACAAAATTATGTTTATGAAACACACATGCCTGAACTTAAGGAGATCTTAAGATATTATACAAAGACAGTTGAAATTAAACAAAAAAAGACTGGCATAAAAATCATCTTTAATCACTTTATTACATGTATAAACTAGGAAGAAATCCAGACAAAAGACTGCTAAAAACCATCTACAAATAATATAAACCATAGGCTCCTGATTCGCTTGAGGTGTGGGAGAGGTTCAATAAAAGATGCATCTATCTGAGGAAAACAATGCCACTGAAACAGCAACAGAGAGTGCAGGGATCATCTTTGCAGTTGGTTAACTAATTCAATTTCAGCATACACTAAATCTGTGCAAATATATGAGATATTTCAACTTGTTTATACTTATTTTTGGTGAGGGCAAGGAGTTGAACATTGTTTTCATCAACAGGATAAAGAGGCAGGCATGTTTCACTGCCTTCAACAAATTGTTCTTGAAAAATTGAGAATACCACTAACCAACCACACCAATAATTATAATAGTGTAACAACGAACGCACCTGGCTACAGATGATTGCATGGTATACCTAAAGATGCGGAAATATGTCTCAAATACAGCAGATAGTGTCTCAGATTGCATCATCTTCCGTTCCACCACATTTGGTGTATAAGAAACAGATTTATAATCTGCAGCAACCTGAACAAAGCAATCAAACATCAATGCAGTGATAATTATAACAAAATAAAGCAAACATAAAAATTAGTGCTACTTGGGAGGGATAAATACCTCTTCCTCCATCTTTGCCATAGTTTCTTTCTTACTTTTCTTTCTGTCATTTCCTTTCAGTTGATTCGAATCTTCAGAATTCACTCTCTTTTTATTTTTCTTGTTCTTTATTTTGCTATTATCATGTTGAACTTCTGGGTTCCCAAGATCATCATCAAATGACAAAGACATTAAAACCTGAAAAAGTTTTGAAATTAACAGAAGAAAAAGGAATTAAGGAGCAGGGAGGCAAAGTTATACAAAAAGAAACATAAATAAGTTGATTCTCCTTCCAATATCATAACCTATTCGATCAACTACCAACTGGCAAAATTGTAACTCAGTTAAAGACAGATGATGACGTTTTTGCATCTTATTAACATCGTAAAGATAAACATTCATAATAAACTTGGAATCTGAAATCTTCAATAGCTGGGCTCCATCTTGCATTCCTTATAACAACTTTAAATACCTTCTATGAGATAAAGGGGTCAACAAACAAAGATGAAAAGGAACTTCAACAAAGTTACTATCTTCTATTGCAAAGAGTTATGTAGACACCCGTTTTTGACCGGGCTTAAAAATATTATATTATTATATTTATTATTATTATTAATGTTATTATTATTATTAGTAGCAGTATTAATAATAATTTTGGTTACAATGTTTGCAGGCCCACATTACACCAAAACCCAGCAGATCAGGATCCCAGATAAACAACCCATACAACAGCCCAAGTACATTGACCCAACAGCAGATCCGACCCGAGTCCAACTCGGATCCAGACCCGACCCGTAACCTAAACCGGTTCATTTTAGATTAGGGTTTATCTAACCCTAATCCCTTATCAATCTAAGCCAGCGTCGCCAATCATCCCAGTCCACTGTACATGCCGTCGTAACAGAACAGTGAACGCCTCTTCACCCCGAGACTTCACCGCCAAATGTCCCAAGCCACCATCGATCAACCATCGTCATCCCTTACGCCAAATATCACTAAGAAACACAAATCAATTAGATCCGACCTAACCCACCAAATAATAAAAATATTATCTCAAAGATCCACTAAGCCATTTCAAATACATAAATCTTGGATTTTTGTGATTTTATTTACAAAATCCGAGTCCCACACTCCATTACAAGCAAGCATAAAAGGGGGATTCGAACAGAGCAGAAAAACGAGAAAAGAAAGAGAAGACAAAAAAAGAGAACTTACCCTTGAAGCGTTGCTCATCATCGGAAGACAAACGTCGCCGGAGATCCAAGTTTGACCGAAGGTAATAACTTCAGTTTATTTTAGATCTAAGGCTTAGGGGTTAATCTTAGTTTCGAATAGGTTGGGTTTCGGGTAGAGGGAGTTGAGAGGATTCAATTGAGGGTTTAGATTTACTCTGGCCGCCGTTCGCCGCCGCGGCTGACGCCGACGGCGTCTCGTTTTCTCTTCCCACGAGATAGGAAATTAAGAGAGTATTTCACTCTCTCTTTCTTTGTGTTTCTGGAAATAAACCAAATGGGAAGAAAGATTTGGTTTTAGCTTATAATTTCATATATATATATATTATATTCAAAACTACGTAGTTTTGAAAAGAGATTTGTTTGTAATTTTATCGTGGGTTAATTGCACTTAAGATGTTTCCATGTTTTGTATGTTTATGTTATAGTCACCTATCATGTTTTATTTATATTGTATTTCATGCATCACGTTTATAAATAGTATATTTTGGTCACCTTAATATCATTATATGAATTTTGTATATTTTATAAATTGTTCTTTTGGTTTATGAATTTGCATTCAAGTCATTGATTTAATGTATTTATGTATTTTTGATATCATTCGAATTTGGCTATAATGTTTGCAAATATATTGTTTTAATCCTTGTTTTAATTTGGTATAATTGTGATTCAGCTTTCAAGTTTTTTATTTATTGCATTTTAGTTCTAAATTTCATTTTTGGGTTTTTTTTCATTCTAGAACTTGTACTATTTAATATTTGTAATATAAATCTGGTTTATTTAAAATTTATGTTCAACCATTTAATTTTATGTTTTATTATTTTAATCCTTTTAAATGTTTATTTTTGCTATTTTAATAATTTAATATTTTTTTGTTATTTTAGTACTTTAAATGTTTATCAATATCATTTTAGTCCTTTAAGTCTTTGTAATTAATGTTTTAAAAGTTTCTGTTTGTGCCATTTTAGTCTTTTAAATTTCATTTTATGATATTTGGTCTTCAAAATTTATATTTTTATTAATTTAGTCTTTTAAATGTCTGTTATGCCATTTTAGCCCTTTTATTTTCTAGTTTTGTTATTTTGATCCTTAAGGTTTTTGTTTTTCCCTTTATTTTGGTCTTTATAAATTTAAATACTTATTTTTGCTATTTTATATTTAGATTTGTAATATTTATTTGTTTTTATTTCAGTCCTTTGAATTTCCTAATTGAAGTTATCAATTTGAAGCAAATTAATTAATATTCAATAAATAAATCATATTTTAACTTGATATTTGATTAATGATTTCCATCATTACGACAACGTGTAAGTAACACAATACCAATTTTGGGTGCTAATCCTTCCCCACGCGTAATCGACTCCCGAACCCGTTTTAATCGAATCTTTGGTAAACATAGACCAATTTTTGTCTTAAAAAATGATTTTTCTTAAAATTGTTTTTAAAAGATGTTTTTAGATATTCGACCTACCTAACCCAAAGGCCGATCAACTTTTGTCTTAAAAAATGATTTTTCTTTAAATTATTTTTTAAAAGACATTTTTAGGTATTCGACCTGCCTAACCCAAATGTCGATGGCGACTCTATAAAATTCTATCCAAATTAATTCCAAATCACCCAAAATTTCCAAATTAAAAGTCGTAACTGGTTTTAAAACAATAAAAAATTGTTCCGCTGAAAAACGGTTATGACAACTTGGCGACTCCGCTGAGGACCTTTTAGAGAGTCATGTTGTTAGTCGTTTACACATTGTCGTTTGGTGGAAATTATGAGTTTAAGTCTTTAGTTAATTTATGATTCATTTATTAAAGTTTTTAATTGCTTCATTTTTTTTGTCATACTAACATTTAAATCTTTGCTTTCAGATTTATCCAAGTTTGTCGAGTTGTTTCGCATTCCTTTTGAGTCGAAGGGCTGAATGTTCCTCCTCACACACATCACATTCATTTGCATACCATAAGCTCACTTATGAGTTTTGTCCCTTTTAAGTTGAGATGAAAGCTTAACCTACATGAAATAATTTGTTTCACCGCACGAGTTTAGTAAGTAATCTTTGGGGTTCATATACCTTATGTCTACGTGAGATAAATTGTTTCTCCGCATGGACATAAAAGAATGTATCCTCTCGAATTGAACTCAATCCGTATGAGCCTGTACTGGGCTAGGATTGAGGGTTTGGTAACCCAATGGGGCACCAACATTAAGGACAATCCGAGTACCTTTTTCCTGTTAGAGTTGAAACCATACATATAGTGAACCGTAGAACGGTCACCCTAGGTATAGACACACTGAACCTCTGTCTGTCAATAGGTACCCAAAATAAGTGTACACAAATGAGGAGTGTTTCTGAACCTTTACCTCTTTGCTTTATGTTCGTAGAATATATTTTTTCTTTTCGAGTAACAACATATGAACTAGATATCATGCGGTTAGGATTATTATTTCTCTTTGTATGTTTTTTTTTCAGTCTCAACTTTGAGTCATATTTAATTATTTCTGCTAAGATTATATTTTCGGACTAATCATTTCAACTAACTTGATTATTTTTGTTTTTTTACTAATATTGGTTTCCTTTTGTCTATTCTTATTGCATTTTTGCATGAACATGACATATCATTCAAAGATATTGATCCTTAAATGACTGGTCATGTAGAAGGTTCTTGAAAAATAATACCTCATCAATGCCTTTCTCTGGGATTGGTAGGATTTTGAAGATGCTTTATGTAGATCGAGTAGCTAGAGGGAGTCTACCTACAAAGGAGACGAGCCGGACGTATACCTGCTGAGGTAACAAGTTGAAATCAAGAAGATTTGATGCTAAAGTCAACAATTGAATATCATGAACCAGCTCGGAAGATTTTTGGAAGTAGAAGATGAAGTAGAAGCTTTGAAGACGATGCAGTTCTCAGATGCTCGCAGGAGCTAGGCGACTTGCAGATGGACTAGATTTTTACTTCCCTAGTGTACCGAGACATTGTCGGTTTTTTTTAATAATTGTTCTAGGAACAATTATTTTTGGATCAATGTCTTGTGCATACATTCATTTTGCATGACACTTGCATTCATCAATACATTGTCGAATTATGCATTAAAGCGTTCATTCATTAAAATAATGATAATAAGATAAGGTTTCCGATCGCAGTGATACGGGTTCACACTGGTAGCAAGAGTGCTTATCATCATTGATGAAAGAAAATGCCTAAAGAAATAGAGGATAAGTTAGCCAGAATTAAGAGAGAACAGAAAGATATGCAAGAAGAAATGGAGAACAAGTTAGCACAACTTGAGGCTGATATCGCAAACTCTCAGCTAGATCTGTTGAACAATGTGGAAGAAATGTTTATGAGACATTTGACCACTGGAAAGACCACTATGGAAGACCCCATACATCCTTCGGGTTTCACACTTGTTCACATTCTTGAGCACATCTCTGCTCATCAAGGAATCCGATCACCAGTCTGCTTCACTATCCAGAACCCACAATATAATGTTGGAGCTTCATTCCCCACTGACTGTCCTGCTGCTTCTGGGCTGAAGCCAGGTGAACATTGTGTTAATATTGAGGTCCCTGACCAAAATAAATTAGCTGAAAATGAAGAGATTATCCAAAGAGTGAAAGATATAGAAGAGATGGTAAAATCCAAGGAGATGGTCAATGCATTCTATGGGAGTGACGCAAGAGATCTAAGCTTGGTTCCTGACCTCATATTACCCCCGAAGTTCAAAGCACCAGGCTTCGAAAAATACAATGGGAGTACTTGCCCATCGGCCCACCTCATAATGTTCTGTAGGAGAATGACATGTTACACTGAAAACGAAAAGCTTCTGATACATTGCTTCCACGATAGTCTGACTGGAACAGCGGTCAAATGGTACAATTAGTTGACCAGATCCCAGATCAAATCATGGAGGGATTTAACACGAGCATTTTTTTAGTAGTATCGTCACGTCACTGACATGGTACCT